GCGCAGGTAAGCTTTGTATGCCTGATGTGGCTTGTTTCCTTAGTAGTTGGTGGTGCTTTGAACACTCCAGCTGCTTTGGTGAAACAGCTTCTAAAGCTTCTCTCCGCGCTCAAGCAGTTTGTAGGCGTCCTTCCTTGTATAAATAGTCTGGTCCTCTATCTCTAAGACTTCTCACTTTCGTGGCTTCACAGCAGGTTTTGAAGGCGCTGCTGCCCCTTTCCCTAGTTGCCCCGCCCATCAAAATCCAAAGGCTATTTTTTGCCACGAGTTCAGTTATTACTGCGTCTTTTTTCACTGCTAGATTGTATTAGCATTGGATTACGCGAAGAAACGATAAGTGAACCACAGGTGGCAGAATACTCCGCTGGCATGAAACGGGCAGGTCCGGAAAACTCGTTCAGGGAGGGTACCAGGTCCTTTCTCGGGGCGTTCTCCTTGATTTTTTTTGCTTTTTATCTTCCCTGGAAAATCATTTAGAGAATATAGGTGTGAGAGTGAGCAAGTGAGAGCCACTATCCACGGTAGACGATCTCGGGGTTTGTCTTCAATGAAGGGAATATTGAAAGATGTGCAGAACTGGCATAAGTGCCCCTTTGGCATAACGCCGATCCTTTCCAAGTTAAAAAGCTTAGAAGGGCAAAGCCCTTAGGTGTCAAGCGATCTCGTTCTGGGACGCGCTACGCATCCTACTTCCATCCAGGTCGTAGTGCCATTTTGAATGGCTTCAGGTCTACACAATGATTTGTTGGAGCCGATGACACACTCTTGTTCGCTGTGGATGCTGGGACGTGTCAAGGAGTCTGGGTTTCGCGCAGCCTCAGCTTGATTTCCGCCAATTTTTGTCGCTTGCGCCCTCCAACAAGTGGTGGGTAACAGGCTGCCGCCGCGCCAAGCCTAGACCATTCCACATATCAGGCATCTGTTGCGAACAATAATATATGGCATTTGATGTTTTTCTCCCCTGGGCAGATATAGTACACATTAACAGAACTAGCAAAGGTTTGGTATGCCTAGTACCCATGACGGATGGAAGTGTTGCTCGAACAATGCAGCATTCAGTCCTATATTTCATCTTCTAGACCGTGAGCGTGGTATGCGGCACATTTTGCCGTTGTACTACCTTTTCCACATGACCTAGTGAAGCCAATATTCATCTCAATTTTTCTTCAGAAGTGTCTTTCCCTTGTCTGGTTTCCATGTTATTCACCATAGGCGCTCACGTCTAGAGCTGCCCTTTGAACTCGATTGACAAATATTTTGGGGATATCGCAGTGTTTTACTGTCTCAGAGCCCTTTTAGAATCTGAATGCCAGCACATGAGGCACTTTGCCGTCAATGTCGTTTTCCCTGCGCTAGCCGAAGCAGGGTCCAGGTCCAGTCGTCCGAGGAAGGTGCTTATTGCGCCCGACACATGCGAAGGAAAAAATAGCTCCGGAGAAAACAGTTTGGAATACTTTTTGGATATCTGAATTCTGTGTGTAACATGAACTTTCAGCGGTGCCTCTTTTTCATATTCAGTTTTGTATACATGGGCCCTTCATAACATAAATGTATTCCAGATGAAAATGCGATTGGGCTGAATTTCGTTATGCTTCAGTGTATTGAATTTAACACTCTTCCCAAAACTTTTTTTTTTTTAGGTATGGATTCGGACCCTCCTGCAACGGAGTCCTTGTCCGAACTAGGGGGTATTCGCGGTCTCATGGCTGGCAGTATGTCGTCACAACCGCGTCAGGACGTCGATGGTCATCCGCCTCCTCCAGTCACTCAGCTCAGCGAGCAGGAAACTGCATCTGCAGGATACTGGTATGCAAAATCTCAAGTTCTGGAGCTTCATCACTTGAACGGATTTCCAGTTTTCCAAACGGAAGTGACCCATTTTATGACATTAAGTTTCAATTTTTTTTATTTTCGCGTTCTTCCAGACTGAATTGGAATATTTGCGAAGTCACAGGGAACAATTCCGTCTCCGTCTTGATGCCTGATTTGTGTGCTGAAATATACATTTTCACTTGCAAATTCATCAGCTTTTTCAAAATCCAAAATTCAGCACTACTTTCCAAACGCAAATCACCACTCTTCTAGACTCGCACTGCGCCAGTTCGCGCAATCAAATCACGGCATCGTAATGGGTAGTACCCGGGACACCACCCGCGTAACCTGCCGCCGGACGGTCAGAGGGCGCCTACTGTCAGGCGCGGACATAGATTTTCACACATGACTGACTCCGCCCATTCTTTAAAGTCTTCAAAGTTGTTGCGAACTTCAAATCTTCATAACTTTTTCAATTTTTAATTTCACATCCACTCTTCGCACAACGAAGGTACTCGTAGACGCGCATTCATGCACCGGCAATTTAGGCTCCGCCCCTTTGGCCCCGGCCCACTTGACGGTTTGCGGATATTATGAATTTCTTCAAAAGTTTTTGCATGGACTGCTCTAAATGGAGGCCCCAGGCCCACTGTGAGAGGCCTCCGCCCACTTTGAGGAAGCCCCGCCCACTTTTCAAAAATGGTGCAAATCGGCAGTATAGAGCCATGGCTTGCATGGCAAGGGTATTGCTGGTCATTAGGAACAAACTTTGCCTGATTTATTTGTTCCGAGTGACGGACGAGACCCCAGCATGCAAGCGACCATTTTTGAAAAGTGGGCGGGGCTTATCCGAATTGAGGGAGCCTCTCATAGTGGGTGGGGCTTCCCGGGGGCAAATCCAAAATGCAATGTTTGAAAAAATATCATAATTCGAGCCGAAACAGCAGAATAGACGTGGGGCCAAAGGAGCGGAGCCTAAATTGCCGGTGCATGAATGCGCGTCTACGAGTACCTTCGTTGTGCGAAGAGTGGATGTGAAATTAAAAATTGAAAAGTTATGAAGATTTGAAGTTCGCAACAAACTTTAACGAATGGGCGGAGTCATTCATGTGTTGAAAATCTATGTCCGCGCTGACAAGTAGGCGTGACCGTCGGGGCAGGGTTCGCGGTGGTGTCTGGCGTGATTTGGTTGGCGAACTGCCTGGTCTAAGAAGAGTGGTGAATTTGGTTTGAAAAGTGGTGAATTTGCTTTGAAAAGTGGTGAATTTAAAGTGAAAATGGTATATCAGAGATCTTTCGACAACTGATGCTTTCATGCGGGAGGACCAGTTTGAGGCGGCTCTGCTTCCCTCCCATAGCCAAGGTTTGGGCTCGGATCGCATGCGATCAGAGTCGCGTTACTCTTGCAGAGCAGACACACCTATGTAACTGTGACCATTGGCGCTCCAATCTGGGCCCCGGCTAGGGAAGAGAGTAAGTCTTTTGCTGTGGCTACTCACGCCCACCCCCCATAAAAAGTTAAACGGCTCGAAGACCTCTGTATTTCCGGGCACAAGATTTACCTCCCTGCTTTCTCAACACCAGATCTTGATTGAAAGTACCCTGCAGTCATAAGGAGCTGTTGTTCATGCAGGACTCTTCGTTTCTTCTATAACTCTGAAAAATGTTCAGTGGAGCGTTTCTCTTGACGGTAGTTATACCGCTGGTACGTGAAATGGACAAGAATCGCGGTATGGATCGTCCGTGAATCGACGGCGTTTTACCAAATGGGTATGTCGTTCAATGGTCTCGGCACTGCCTATTTGGCGCTCAATATCGGGTTCAAAGCCGTCTATTGTTACAACTATAAAATAGTCCCTGTTCTGTTAGTTAATTGGAGTGCGAAGGTACCTGAAACCTATCTGGACCATGGAAGCATCGTTTTTTGAAACCGGTTACGTTTTTTGAAACGGTTCTTATCGTTGAGGAACTAGCAAAGGTTTGGTATGCACAATGTTTCTACCGTACCTTATTTAATATTTCTGATGATTAAAGGCAAAGCCCACAAACATTCACCATCACAGATAGTGGTTTGGGGGTCAGCATATGGACGAGAAGGTTCTGAGCAACTCAATAGTGAGGAAAAAAGCAGACGAAAACATGCAACTGCTCTAGATAAGACCCCATGTCGAGTGCCAGTTTGTACGTGTCCAGTTAACTCTATCTCCAACACTGCGTCCCCATCCGCACAGCTGATTTCCCGATAAGAACTCTACGACCGCACAAGTGACGATTGTTCAGGCTTTTTCGTCTGGCAGCCTGTAGCGCCCCTCCCTTACAATTTTTTGTCGCGAAACCGCTACAAGGTTGTTCGTCGGGGGCCATATTACTCTCCCGACGCCGTATTTTCAACCTACACCTGATCGCGGACCCTATCTTCAAATGGAGATGAACGGAGCTGGCACGCAGCTGGATCGTGACACTACCTCCCTCCGCAGTGCCCTTGCAGCATGGGGACCTATTGAATATTAGAAGTATATGGCGAGGGAATCCACGTCTTAGCTCTAGATGTAGTTGATATAGTAGCAATCAGTGGGGGCGGTGCGAAGCCCACCCCGGCTACCTATCCTACCAACAGTGATCGATTGGGGAAGCAAACAACCAGTAGTAGAAAACGCCGCTGGATTCGATGCGACTGATAACTGATCCGACTGAGAAAAATCGGTGCAGTACCTCCTGGTGGTTGAAGTGGCCGCACCGAACGACACAGAAAGTCTGTGCGGGCTAGCAGAGGACGAATAAATTCTTGTTACCAAAGTGGCCCATATGTACCGTTCTGCAGCTCCACAAGAGCTCAGAGATTTCACCAAATAAGGCCTGCTAGTTGAAGCATGAACTAGCATTGGGAACTCACGAAATCGTAAAGTAGTACCCATCCCAAGACGATCTGCCGAAAAACCTACCGAAAACTTGGTGTCACCATGATTTATTTGCAGGAATTTATTACTCTTCCATCGTGTTTAGGTTGACCCTGCTGTATCTGCGTTCGTTGATCTACAGAACACACTCATTGTGCCATTGTTATTGGAATTAGGAACAGAAGAAC